AGTGAAGGAGAGGCGCCGACGTGGTGAAGAGGCCCTCCTGTGAGAGAGTGTGGGACTCCTGTCTTTCTGCCCAGTTGAAGGAGTGTTGGAGGTCGTGGAAGAAGAGGCTGACGATCTCCAGACTTATTATCCTTATTTTCATATTCATGTGTTACTTGTGTTTGTATGTGTGATCATGTAATTTGCATCGGTAAATTCACACATTTATCATTGTGTTTAAGTGTGCCTCCATTTATAATATTTCTCTATGAGCATACACGAAGGTTATCATAGTACCACCTAGGGAACACTACGTTCTCTATAGAAGTTCTTATTGCCTGGAGAGTGGTAAAGACAGCACGGATCCATATAAAAGTGTACCCTTAGCCATCCGATCAGTATCAGTGCCTGAATGGTGGCAACTAGTAACGTGGTGGCTAGAGAGAGGTAAAGCCACACAGACCTTCCTGGGAGAGTACCGTGGGCCAACAGTCTAGTAGCAGATCTATGGGAGTAGCAATCTTCTGGCTACAAACAATATATAATACACCCACTGTACTGCATTGCTGGGGTGCAGATATAATAACCCAGCTGGAGACCTTGTTAAGAAGAAGATAGAGAAGACAGGCGGGAAAGGAGTTCCTGCAACCTTTTTGTCTGGCAGGCAGGACTCAGGGAGGTTATTGTTATAAGGTAAGCCTGAGTCTTCCTTCACTCCTCCACGGGTCTAGGCCAGAACTGCTGAAAGCAGTTTCCCCGTGTTTGACTGAAGGGCTTCCAGGGTGAATCAGTGGCACCCCCTTTTGTGGTGGAAGCAAAGACCTGCGGAGGTGGGCATTGCTGGTCCTCTCCTGTGGGACCAAGGAGACTCCGGTGAATCCAGGGAGTCGGAGGGGCTGAGTATTCGGCCTTTTGAGCCCCTAGCAGCTGAGTGCCAGCAGAGCCCCGGCCCACCTCCACGTGACAATATCCACTATCTTATTACCAAAGGTATGCTACTAGACTAGTACCAGAACTAAGAGGCATGGGTGATGAGGAAAGGCTGCGGGAAATGCACCTTACGACACTGGAAGACAGAAGAGTAAGGGGGGACATGATCACAACCTACAAAATCCTCAGGGGAATCGACCGGGTAAACAAGGATGAACTATTCAACGCTGGAGGGACACGAACAAGGGGACACAGGTGGAAACTGAGTATCCAAATGAGCCACAGAGACATTAGAAAGAACTATTTCAGTGTCAGAGTAGTTAGTAAATGGAATGCACTAGGAAGTGATGTGGTGGAGGCTGACTCCATACACAGCTTCAAATAAAGATATGATAGAGCCCAGTAGGCTCAGGAACCTGTACACCAGTTGATTGGCGGTTGAGAGGCGGGACCAAAGAGCCAAAGCTCAACCCCCGCAAGCACAATTAGGTGAGCACACACACACACACAGAAAAGATAGCTATCCTTTTAAAGCTGTATAGTCTCACAATGTGGACACAATTGGTTCATATTCCTAATTAGCTTCAATAAGTTTCCTTAGTTACTGTGGAATGTTGTGAAGGGAGAGGTCCTGTGTACTCAGGCACAAGGACCAAGACATTGTGCTACACAAAATGTCTTCAGCCGTCAAGGATTAAATGTGAGGCGCAAAAGCCTGAACATTTTGCTTAATCTAAATTTTCCCCTCAGAAAACATATAGAAAAAAAACACGAAAAGGTAATTTTTGGTGACGTGAGAGAAATGGGTTTAGACTCAAGACTAAGGGGGAAAATATATGACGGGAAATGGCCAAGTAGGCCTACCATTCATACATAAATATTTAGGTTAATTTTTAATGCTGACACAAGTAGGATTCTCAGCCTTGGTGACCCTTAAAATATTTTTAAGACGCTATACTAAGTAGCATTAATTTATTATTTTTTAACCATTCTCCTTATGATTTTTTTTAAACAATCAGGGTCATGATTAGAATTAAATATCCTTAATATGTTGTTTACTGGGACACGGGTCGTTTAGTGGTCTACATCGACGGCCTACAACTAATGGGCCCCGGGTGTAAAATTCTGTTGTAGAACGGAGACGGTTGGGCACATTTCCTCTCACCTCAAGCCTCTGCGGTAAATAAGTACCCGGGAGGTAAACCCTTGCTGTGCCATACACCCCGGGGAACACCAGGCCAAAGGTAACAAGGACATGTGCATGTACAGACCTCCTGTACCCGATAACAGGCCTCCTGTACCCGATAACAGGCCTCCTGTACCCGATAACAGACCTCTTGTACCCGATAACAGACCTCTTGTACCCGATAACAGACCTCTTGTACCCGATAACAGACCTCTTGTACCCGATAACAGACCATCTGTACCCGATAACAGACCACCTGTACCCGATAACAGGCCTCCTGTACCCGATAACAGGCCTCCTGTACCCGATAACAGGCCTCCTGTACCCGATAACAGACCTCTTGTACCCGATAACAGACCACCTGTACCCGATAACAGACCACCTGTACCCGATAACAGGCCTCCT